GAATTCCTCACAGATGTGCTCAGCCATTTGCGTTTCAGTTAATTCCAGAGATAGTGAAGTCGACAACCAAGACTAGCCAGCACAAGTCCACCCCTCGCCAGCCTGACACCCGATCTCATCTCCTTACATCATGCATGGAAAAGAACTCTAGCCACTCTGACTTCATACTGTGATACGCAGACTTAGTACGGTTTGGGACTTTACGATGCTGTGGTGGTTTGTAGGAGAAATGTTCCACAAGCTCATGCTGCCTCTGCTACTCACGAGCACGTGGTGCGACAGGAAGCCAGGGAGCTGAGAGCCAGCTTTGCTGATTTATAACAACTTCGCAAGAGAACGAACAAGGTCCCACAGGAGCCACCTTGACCCCTTCTGAAGACGGCACCCCCCTCCTCACAGACGGTACCACCTCCTCACAGGCTCTACCTCACCATCGCCTCCCAGCCTGGGACCCCCGTGTGGTAGACGAACCACATGCAAACCACAGAAAACATGGGCACATGTAAAGGGAACCAGACTGCTGGAGAAGCCTCCAGGCACCCGAGCTTGCACTGTGCATGACACAAGAGGACTCTTGTAACACTGGTCAAAGGCTCTTTATGGTTTGCCCTGTGCGGCTCACTACTCAAAACCACAGGAAAACTTCAGGGCCATTTAGTTGAGAACAAGTCGGTGAATAAAAACCAAGAAAACCATGAGAAGCGATAAAAGAAAAATCCAGGGCAAACGGAGTGTGGTTCCACCCTCTTGTAATTGTAGCACTTGAAAGTCTGAGGCAGGAGGACTGCAGTGAGTCTGCCGCCAGCACAGTGACCCTGATCCCAACCAACACACACACAAACAAAGCAAGCAGATAAAACTTGTTCATTTTTAAGTGAGAGAACGGGGCCTTTGAATGCCATGCAGGGATTTTAAAGACTATCTAGGCAGGCCTGGAGGGATGATGGCTCAGTGCTCTGCTCTTGCAGAGGACCTGGGTTCCGTCCCCAGCACCCACATGGCAGCTCACAATTTATAACTCCTCTTCTGGCCTCTGTGGCTTCTTCATACACATGATGCACACACATGAAAGCAAAACATGAGTACACACAAAAATACATAAATCTAAGCCAAGTCTAGATATCTAGGTAATTTCAATGAAGCTTAATCATCCAGGCAAGGGAAAGAATAGAAATAACATGGCTACAAAGCTCACATTTTTTGAAGCCAGGGAAGGTATAGATATTGTTAAATATTCCTAACATTGATGCAAAATTAATTTTTAATATTTGTCAGAATAGAAACAGAATTATAGGAAATCTCCAAGAAATAGAGGGGGCATATTTTTTCTGTGTTATATAATTTATAATGAACTTGTAGTGTGTGTGTGTGTGTGTGTGTGTGTGTGGTGTGTGTGTGTGTGTGTGTGTGTGTGTTTCTATTGCAGTGAAATTACCCTTTGTATGAACTGTTGAGTATTTGCTGTCTCCCGCCCCCTGTGGCTTTTTGAGATAGGGTTTTTCTGTGTAACCTTGGCTGTCCTGGAACTCTCTCTGCAGACCAAGCTGGCCTCAAACTCACAGAGATCCGACTGCCTCTGCCTCCAAGTACTTCGATTAAAGGGGTGTGCCACCACCACCTGGCTTAGTGTTTGCTTCTTAAGACAGGAGACAGCAGTTCATTTAGGCAGCACACTCAAAATGTACACACACTGAAAATGTTGTATAAAATGACCTTGGGACAGCAGATGCCATTCATACAATCTTAACAAGGAGGTGACAGTGACATTGTCATCTACACAGCATTTGCCGTGTGCAGGATGATGTCCATGATCACATTTCATCTTTGTAAGTTACCCAGTAGGAATCAGGCAAGTAAGGATGGCAAGCTAGAGTCAAATCGCCGGTGCCTGTCTCCAGGCTCCAGTTCCTGCTGCATCTCACAGCCTGTCTGTGGGCAGGGAAGTCCAGCAGCCCTGCAGGTGTCTTCCAGGTTTGATATGTGTGCTGAAGGGCAACACACAACTCCCTTTCTATCCAATTCGGGCTACCTAGTGGGCTCATTTCAGCTGCAAACCTCACGTCCTTCTTTTCCTGCGATTCTGGTGACCAGAAGCTCAAAGTCATTTTCCTGGAGACTCTCCAGGAAATCCATTCCCTGCAGATGACTGAAATGAGCTCCATACTTCCTGTCACTGTATCTACTTCTGGCTCAGTGTTCTGCCTTGCTCTTTAGACATGCATGTCTGTCAAGACCTCTTGGGTAATTTGGGATACATTCCCATCACCAATCCCTTATCACATCTGCAAAGATCCTGCTGCTATATGAGGTAGCATCTGAAACTCCAAGAATTGGAATATAGACGATGGATGGGAGTTTCATCATTTCTCCAACTACCCTTAGCATCTTCTTGAGGAGCCAGTGTGGGGTGAACAGGACAACGTGCCAAAGGAGTAATGTGCTTGAGTATGTGAACCTCAGACACCTTTGTGATGTGTAAGAGATAAAACTTCTTGATCCTGCCTAACCAACCAGCGTCTGTAGTTTTGATTTTTGTTGGTGCTGGGGCTCGAACCTAGGACTTTGAGCTTGGTAGAGTAAATTAAGATTTTCTTTGAAACTGAGGACTAAGGCTAGCAGGAAGGCCCAGGATGGACCTGTACCACAGTTCTCACTTCAATGGAAGACTCCCCCCACCTCCACACCTTCCTCGAGGACGGTTTACACCTTCCCCTGATACACCTAAGCCCTTTGATCTGTTTGAGGACAGCTTGTTCTCTGGCTATTGAAAAGGATGTGAGAGCCGCAATGGATGGTGGGAGGAGAAGAGGAGATAAAGTGTATGGCAGAACTCACTAAAGGGACCTGGAATCCCTCCCAAAATTGGTCTCCTGACCGTGCAAGGCCAGCATCTGAGAGACTGACAGACTGCAGAGCTGGGCAGATGCTTCTCTCGTGGTGGAAGGAGCAGCTGTCTGTGCCTCACACCGAGGGCAAGTTCTCTGAAAGCTGACTGAGTTCCTGCTTCCAAAGGTTACTCTCATAGCGTCATATCCCTGCAAATCACAGGGCAAAGCTGCAGCAGATTCTGCTGCAGTAGGAAAAAAAGGCACAAAGCCCACCACCAACCCCTGGGCCTGCCTGTGGTGTCAGCAATTAGCTCAGTGTGCTAATGAGAGTCTTCAGGGAGAACGGCATTAATTAATGGGTGAATTTCACTTTAATAAACGTATAGGCAATTTTCTAAATGCAGATGGCAGAGTCCGCCCTGATGGCTGTACCTAGAGCCACTCAATATGGTAAGTGTTGAAGGAAAGTGGTTAATTTGAAAAATGCCTCATGATACTGATTAGAAAAGAAATAATGCCAGTTTTCCCTTTCCACAGCCGGAGAACTCTAACCTCCCGATTTCCACAGCAGCCTGGGGCATTCTGTCCTTCCCAGTGTCCTGAAATGAGAGGAACCCTCCTTCAGGACTGGGGGACACCTCTTTTATTGTGGGCTTCCTTTCTCAGTTTTTCACCCCTAGCCAAACCTTGACACCTGCATATTCTGTCCCCATGGGACAAGCAGAAATGGCTTCCTCACGGTTCCACAAGATCAAGGGCACCATCTGAAAGAGAATACGTAACATCCAAAGTCATCGTTGTCGTGGGATATAATTAGCTGAACCTTGGTGACAGGTACTCAAGCACACTGCTGATGACCGGAGCTAAGGGACAAAGGAAGTCTCTCCTGCATCAGTTTTTCAGTCGGAGTTCATGGGCAAGCGAGCAGAGGGCTAAGTGAGCAGATGGGCAGTGTGAGCGCCAGCTCCCAGGACTTCCCACATTGTCCCTTGAGATGCTGCCGACTCCCATGGCAAATCATAATTGGTACAGAATTCAACTGCTCTGGATCATAGCCTTTAAAAATTACAGTAAGTCACAATTTGTTGCAACCATTAGCTTGACAATGAAACCTTAATTTATCAAATAAGCTGAACCCAAAACAACTGGAAACTCCCACATAAATAGAAATGGCTTGGCCTATGACTTGATGTTATTCTGGGAGTCACAATGGGGACAGCTCCACAAAAGAGATGAGGACAAGGTGGCCTGTGTGCATCAACTCCTGCTTCGTTGGGTATCTGCCACATGGACCACTCATCAGCATGTGCCTTGTAAATGGGTGTTGGTGTTTGGAAGAATTGAGTGATTACAAACAGACCCACGCCCCTCTTCTGTGGGGGGCATCTCTGGAGAGGAGGGAGCCTCTCTACCATCTTACCCTGTAAAGATTGTAATCAATGCTAATCAGATGTTGCATATGACAAATAGATTTGGGACCCAACACAAAAATCCAGTATAGCATTTTAAGATTTTGGGTGAAATTTGTGATTATGAGCTGTAGTAGAATATTATTTTAAGGTGCGTGACTTTTGTTTATGCTGCATTTGTTTAACTCTGTGAAGCACACACTCTATATGTGCCTGTCTAAAACATCTGATGGTCTAATAAAGAGCTGGATGGCCAATAGTGAGGCAGGAGCCAGGATAGGCGGGGCTGGTGGGTAGATAGTATAAATAGAAAGAGAAATGAGAAAGAGGAGGAGCAGTAAGAGAAGGAGGAGAGAAGGACATCAGGGGCCAGCCACCCAGCCACCCAGCCACCCAGCCACCCAGCCACCCAGCCACCCAGCCACCCAGCCGCCCAGCCACCCAGCCACCCAGCCACCCAGCCACCCAGCCGCCCAGCCACCCAGCCACCCAGCCACCCAGCCACCCAGCCGCCCAGCCACCCAGCCACCCAGCCACCCAGCCACCCAGCCGCCCAGCCGCCCAGCCACCCAGCCACCCAGCCACCCAGCCACCCAGCCACCCAGCCACCCAGCCACCCAGCCACCCAGCCAATCACGGAGGAAAGTAAGATATACAGAAGAAAGAAAGATAAAGCCCAGAGGGAAAAGGTAGATGGGTAAATTAGTTAAGAAAAGCTGACTAGCAACAAGCCAAGCTAAGGCTAAGCATTCATAACTAAGAATAAGCCTCATATAAGATTTATTTGGGTGCTGAGTGGCACCCCCCAAAAGAACCAAAGAGTCAAAAACAATCAACAATTCTTAGATGTCCTTGGTCCAAATGAGAAAAGCCAGGCCTAGGGGGGTTAGGGAACCTGTTCAAAGTCAGGTGGAGACCACAGATCCAGCTCCTAACCAGCATGGGGAAGCTCCCGGCTTCATCGTGGAGTGTAATGCTGGTCTGCTGCCTTTTGGTCTTGGAGTCTGTGTGATGTGCTCACTTGTGACCCCTGGCATCAGTGCTTCAGGCCTGGGTGGACTCTGCTGACCTGGCCCGTTTTCTGTTGCTATGGCAAAATGTCATTGTGTAACTTAAAAAGGAAAATGAGATTGAATGACTTATACAGAAAAGTCCAACAGCCTAGTGTTAGCATGCTCCTGACATACCTGAAAAGGGAAAGGGCACACCCACAGAAGACAAAGAACACAGGGTCCAACCTTGATCTGTGACAACATAGAGGTAAACTAAACCACGCCCCAAAGAGCAAGGACCACCTGCCACAACCCACATCTCCCACATTCCACTTGAGTTTTAATGGGGCCAAACCACAATTAAGCCACACTACTGGTCTTTGGAATGAATAGTTGGCTAAATTTAGATGCCAGAGCAAGCTTAGACCACCATGTCAGGACCTGTAAGGCTCTCCTAGGTACTACTGATGCTCCAACTCATGGGTCTGGGGAAGGCAGGCAAACGGCAAACCGTGCATTCTTCATTTTATTTTAACTTTTAGATTTGTTTATTTTTATTTTATATCTATGTCTTCCCCTGTGTTTGTGTGTATACGCCCCATGCATGTGCAGTGCCCACTGAGGTCAGAAGAGGGCGTCAGATCCCCTGGAACTGGAGTTACAGATGGTTATGAGCTGCCGTGTGGGTGCTGAGTCTGAACCCAGCTCCCTTTGCAAGGGCAGCCAGTGCTCTTGACCTCTGAGTCGTCTCTCCAGACACAAACCACCCATTATTTAATAAATGAGCTAAGGAATGTGTTTCATCTCATTCCGTGAAGTTGGTTGGGTGTCACTGCAATTGAGAAAGGCTCCCTTAAAACCCCATGCATTAAAGGCTAGGGCCCACCCCCTGGTAATTCGGGACTGGGGATGGAACTTTTAAGAGTAGATCGTGGTCTAGGCCAGATTGTAGTGGTGGTACATGTTTTTAATCCCAGCACTCCGGAGGCAGAGGCAGGCGGATCTCTGCCAAGAAAATAATGAGGAAAGTTGATGTTTTTCGTGTTAATTGCAGGTTACCAGTTCTTGGATAGAAAGTATTTATAAAAAAACAATGTTGATTTGCAAGAATCTAAGCCACACAGAGGGCCTGTGTGGAAATGGGGTGGCAACATTCAGAGGTGAGGCCAGCTTAGGTATGAAGGTAATGCTGGCCAGTGGCTTGCAGCCACTAGAGTGTGGCTCCTGACCCCTGACCCCTGACCCTTGGGGAGACTCTAAGTCTGTCTTGCCCTTCTCAAGATTACAGGGGAGCAGTGTCATGGAGAGATCAATCCCGTGCTTGAAGCTATAACCAATTCTGAAATCAGAAGGGTCTCCTAGAATGTCCCTATCACTCACCTGTAGGAGAAGCTCAGCGGAGTTCACCATCACCCTGCTCTTCAAAGGCAGGGGAAGACCAGATGTTTTTCTCAGCTTTCATTTTCTCTGGAAACATAAGAATTGAGGACATCTCCCCGCACATGTCTGCGGGAGGGTTTAAGTTCATGGTTTAGGTTTTAAAACTGCAATTTGAGCCCATTAGAGAGAGATCGGGCACTGGCACACGTGGGGAAACAGTACATTAGCCTATTTCCTTCCCGTAAAGATCTGTAAAAGCCTGTGTGATTTTTGCAGAACGAGGTTGTCACAGTCCGTAATCAGCAAGTGCAGCGCTAGAAAGCCTTGAAATCAACCAGAGAGGGTCGAAGAGGTTCTGAGAGTGGAAATAATCTTGTCTTAACATTCGTAATGACCAAATGGGGCTGAAGCTCACCCCCATTTCATGGATGGGGAAGCTGAGGCTCAGCTATTTATAAAACATGGTCAAGGTGAAGGGCAGGAGGTGATGAAGCCAGGATTCTGCAAAGTTGAACTTGCTGGGGGAAGAACCTCCGGAGGAAGTGCCCCCCATCCTCCACTCCCCCCTCACTCCCTCATTCCCTCCCCGCCGCCCCCCCCCCCCCCCCCCCGGCAGCACAGCACAGAACCTGTTAGGCAGGTGCTGAATTCTGACACATCTTGGTATCTGTTACCAGTGCCAGGCACCTGCATGGTTACAGACTCGTTTATGCCTTATTTTCTCTGGTAAGGAAACCTGCCTCACAGAGGAAATGTGAAACAGAAAATATGCTTGACCCAGTGCCTGCCATCTGATCTAACTGGAAGGGGCAAAGGGTCTCAGCACAGCGCAAGGCTAGGCAGTCACCGTCTTGCAGGGTAGCAGGGGGGCTGAGACCTCTCAGAAGGGATCTCAGCTTTGAGAACGGTGGCTGAGACCTCTCAGAAGCCCCTCGCCCCTGCTTCCCCCTTCTGCTCCACGCCCCCTGGCTATGTGCCATTTACTCCTCAAGTCACCACTATCAGAAAGCTAGCACCCTAAACCAGTGTAGGGTTCCCAGAGAAGCTTCTCTTGGGTACATACCTGAAGACATCCAAGCCTGTATGTCAGGGACACCTGAGTCCCTGTGTTTACATCAGCCAAGGGACGGAACCAGTCTAAGGAACCCATCAGCAGGTCACAGATGAAGAAAATGTGACATGCATACACAGTGGAGCTTCATTTGGTCATAAGAATGAAATTATGTCATTTGTAGGAAATGGGTGAAACTGGGGATCAGCGTGCTAAGCGAATTAGACTAACCAGAAAAAGATGTTTTCTCTTGTATGTAAACTATAGATCAAATACAATAAAGACACTCTCTTGGCCTTTCTTTTTTCTTCCTTTTTTTTGTTTTTTTGTTTTTGTTTTTTGAGACAGGATTTCTCGGTGCAATAGCCTTGGCTGTCCTGGAACTCACTTTGTAGACCAGGCTGGCCTCAAGCTCACAGAGATTCGCCTGCTTCTGCCTCCTGAGCACTGGGAATAAAGGCGTGTGCCCCCATGCCCAGCTGGCATTTTCTTAATTGTTCATTAATTTAGAAGGGCCTGGTCCACGGTGGGCAGTGCCATCCCTAGGCTGCTGTGCCTGAGCTACATAACAAAGCAGGCTGAGAGAGCCAATAAGCCGTGCTCCTCCATGGTTGCTGTCTCAGTCCCTGACTTCCCTTGATGATGGACTGTGACCTGAAACTGAAAGCCAAACCTGTCTTTTACTCCCCAAGTTGTTTTTGGTCAGGGTCACAGAAAGCAAAGTAGGACAGGAATGAACACAGAAACTGGATGACTCAGGAGGAAGAAAGAGATCAGCTGGAGGGGCCAATGGCAAGAGCACTGGGAGCCAGGGTGTCACCAAAGAACACGGTACTCACACGCAGCCCACTGTTTTATATAAGTATATGCGGAGAAGAGGAGACGAAGAAGAACACCAAGATCGCGGGTGTGAAAGACCTTAGCGTGCCTCTGGTCCTGTGCCCAGAACACAGGAAGGAAAGTAAATATCTCGTCTTGCCTTCAAAGAGCAGGTGTGGCTGTGGTCATGCTGGGGCCAGCGGATCATCGGCAGGCCCTTAAGGCAGGGAGTGGGAGTTGGATGGACTGGGAAGGAGCTGGAGACTGATGTGAACTTAAGGGAATACTGACAACCACCTACCTGCTTCTTTAGGCTCACAATTACGAGAGGGGACACGCTTTTCTTAGAGGAACCCAGGTTTTGCAGTTCCAGTTGTGAATGGGTCTATCCATGATGAGAGTTAGCAGGCGTTTTAGCTGGGGGCATACACACACACACACACACACACACACACACACACACACACACACACACCTGTGTGGAGGAGTCAGATGAAGGAGTCCAGCCTCCTACAATCTGGTCCTTGGTTCTTGGCTCCACAGCCATCTGCCGATAGAGCTGATCTCTAGGTCCCCTCTGCTGCTGTAGTTTTCAAGCCCTGGCAGACAGTGCATGATAAAGTGGCTGCCACTCCAAGGTCTCACGTGATACGGCTTCCAAGGTGTCTCCCATGCCCCCGTGCCCTGATGTGCTGACTCTCATTTGTTTTTTGTTTTCTTGTTTTGCTTCTTTTTCCTTCCTCTTATTCCTTTGTGCTAATCCCTTTGTACATTGAGTTTTTGTCTGTATACCACGCTTCCTATCTCCTGAGAGCCACAGTCTTTTTGAAGTAGGACTCAACACCAGCAAGGTTGGTTCAGTTGTCGGAGAGCAAGGGTGAATGAGATGGGCTGGCAGGCAATTTCGAAGGCCTGCAAGGAGCCGCTGCTCACATACCCTAGACTGGAGGGCAATATGGGCCTGGCAGCTGCACACCACTGTGAGAGGTCTCAAGTGTCCCACCCCTTATATCCGCATGGCGCCTGCCATTCCAGAGCGGATTATGACATAACACACATTGGCAACTCACGGTCATGCCTAAGTACCGTGATTCTGTGACCATCTTTGCTCAGGCAACCTCTCACCGGACGGCCAGGTGTGACAATTCCTTCCCACTGATCTCTGGTTTAGGCAAAGCTGACCTGTGCTGGGGACAGTCCCTGTGCCATCTCACAGTAATGTGTTCCTAAGGCAGTGATCAGAGACCGTGGTGGTGCAGCCTGGGCTCTTCCATAGCAAAACTTCAAGTGACTCAGCATCTTCTCAACTGGTAGTCCTGCCAGGTCCAGCTCTCAATAGGAATTCTTGGCACCCCTGGGTGGCTCTGTTCCAGCCCACAGTGCTGCTGCTGCTGGGTTATCCTGGTGGGACAGCTCCCAGGGAGGAGGGTAGAGCGGGGGACCTCACTGTAGAGTTTGTGAGCATTAGCAGATTCGGGGAATTCTACGCAGGGCCCTTCACCTGTCCGATTGATTATCCTGTTTGTATCTTCTTTAAATTAAGACAATCCATGCCATTGTCCCTCTGTTCTGTTTACTCCTGGGCCCCTTTAGGAAGGAAAAGGCTGGGAACTGCATCCTAATGGCCCAATTAGTCCTAATGCTGCGTGGTGTTGACTGTTTAGTTACCACCATATTGTGTACAGAACTAATTGTGGGGAAAGCAAATGAATGGTCAGGAAACAAACAGGCTACTAGAATATAATTACTTGGAGTGTCTGTCTTTAGTACCTGTTCGGTGGGTTTCATTATAGTCAACAGCCCCTAAGTTGCTCCAGATAGTGGTATTTGTCATTTTCATAGAAACTTGATAATGACATTAATTTATCTTAATGGCCTGTTCTATTGTTATAAATAGTAAAATTAGCTTAAATTGTCTTGCTTTTGCTGGTTTTGGATGGCTGTAGAGGGCCCACAGCAGCCGATGAGTAGATAATTTGGTGTGCTTGACAGATTCCCAATAATCTGCTATGTGGGAACACGAGTAATGCTAGTGCCATTAACGCTCATTTTCCTCTAAATTCATTACTGCCCTTTTCGCTTTTATCTTTTTTAATGTCTGGGCCATTTTTCTATATTTCAAGTGGAGCCACAGAGCTATTCATGCTCAGCCGCTATTAACATTCTGCACATAGCAAGCATCCTGGAGAAAAACAAGTCTTTATGGGGTGAGGAGCCTGCCGCTTCCATCCACCGGGAAAAGCAGGCAAAATGGGGGCCGAGCAGTATCAGGGCCTGGGTGTAATTAAGTCAAATGTAATTTTAAAGAAATTTAAATGTTTTCATTTGCGGCAAAGGTAAAACACTCTCGGGAGAGCCTAGGAAGATGCAGGCAGGGGCTGACAGTTGCTTCTTCCCTCCCTGAAGACTCCTGTCCCAACGTCTATAGCATTTTGTCAGGCTGTTTAATATTCTCTATAAATTCAGCTCTGATTAGCCACTAAAGGTATTAAGTTAATTTCATTTCTATAAGTGAACGTGTTGGCATAGCATCTCAAACCAGCAAGGCATAGCTCTCATTTAAAACAAAACAAAACAACAACAACAAAAACTTAGAATTCAGAATATTCAGTTTTGGCTCCAAATCTTTATTTCATCAGAGATCCTGTTTAGCTACAAAACTGACTGCTTCAGCCTTCAAGCATGGTCTAAGTCCATCCACCCTGGATAGGAAGGCTAACAAACAGTAAAAGGCATGACAAGAGATTTTTGTTTGGATAATACACATCCGTTGGCTTACAACGATGAGAAAGTGCAATATATGTCATGCAGGAGATAGCCATTGCAATTAAGTTTTTCTTGGCAGTTACAGCGGGGTAACATCGGGAACTCATACTGGGTGCCTCTACCCACCCCAGTCCTGCCACCACCCACTGCCATTCCCACCCACTCCCCCACCCACTCCTGCCCACTCCCACCACCACAAGTTAAAATACCCTTAGGGTGGGGGAAAATGAGACACAGAATATTTAGTTTAAAAAAAATAAGGCTTGCATATTACAAACTACATCCTTTAAAAATATGAACTCAGAAAGAAAAATGTAGCTGGGTGTGGTATGTGCCTGGAATCTCAGCACCAGGGCAGCTGAGGCAGGAGGATTATAAGTTCAAGACCACCCTGGGCTACATGGCAAGACCCTGTGGAGGAAGATGGAGTCTTTTAGAAAATAATGCCCGGTACTGACAGTGAGGAGTCTCCCTCCTGGCTCTGTTGTGTGACTCTTTGACTCCAGGAAGAAACATGCAGTAATCCAGTGTCTTTTTTAAAAAGCAGGACTCTACGCACTGGCCAGACAAAAAGTCCCTGATGACAACTTTCACAGTGAAATGGCCCAAACAACATTTAAAGAACTTTTCCCTTTTCATGACACAAAACTGTTTTTCCCCTACAGATACAAACAGATTTTAAAAGCAGAGTATTCAATAATATCACCCAAATGTACTCCTGAGTGTATATGTTGCTCTTCTCGGCTCGGGAGGAATGAAGGATAATGTACTGATAATGTAATGTATCAGAGGGGCAATTCATAAAATATTTATCTTAAAGCAGAAAATGTGTCTGCCTTGTTCATTTATAAAATTATAGTTGAGGAGAATTAGGTACCAGCCAAGTCCCTCTGTCTATGTGGCTGTTGTCACCCAGAGTGCATTAGAGTAGGCTGTGTACCTGCTGAGGAAGACACAGCCTGTCAGGGGCACATAATGGACCGCAAAAGATAAATGGAATTAGGCCATGGAATAATTAGAGTGGTGCCCACCAGAGAGGCTGTAAGTAAAGGGTTCAGGGTTTCCATTAGAAACCTCCACTTCAGTGGCCAGCTGGGGCTGGAAGTTAGTGCCAGCCTGGGAGCTAAGGGGTGGGGTGGCGAGTTCTCCAGGGGGTACCTTAGGAAGCAAGGAGGGTGGCTTGCGGGTCATGATACAGAGGGACTTGAGTCCACCCAAGTCCTGCGAGCACCCATTAAGCTTCCTCTGGGGGAGGGGTGACATTTGACTGCAGTTTGGTCCTCAGGCTTGGGGCACTCAGAGATGTCTTAGGAGAGGCTGCGCTGTGAGTGGCGTGTCCCCGGGGCCTGCGGAGCTGTTTATGCAACAATGCTCGGCCCCCATTCCAGCGTCACATCCTCAATGCCCACATGCCAGCCTTCTCTAAAAATGTCTTCACAGACACGCCCACAGCTAATGCTTTGTCATTTCGTCAGCATCCCTCAACTCAGTCTGACTCAATAAACAAACAAACCCCTATTAACAGTTCGGCCGTGTGTCTGGTCAATGACCAAGACCGCGCCTTTCTTGACGTCTCTATTCCCCATGGCTGACTGTCCTTGTTGCCTCTAGTATTGTAGTGAAATCGCTTCTGACTGGTCTATCGTGGATTTTCCTTACTCCTTAGTGTTAGATAAGCTTCCTTGAGGGTTGGGGCTGGTGGGAAGGCTAGAGAAATGGCTCAGTGGTTAAGAGGACTGGCTGTTCCTGCAGAGGACCTGGGTCACTGGGACACTGAGGCTCACTACGACTTCAGTTATGGCGCCCTCTTCTGGCCTCTATTGGTACTGCATGCACATGGTGCACATACAAGAGTGCCTGCAAAACACTCCTACACATAAAATAGAAATAAATAAATCTTGAAAAGAAAATATATATTTAGTTGGACTGTGAGATGATTCAGTATATAAAGGCACTTGCTACCAAGCCTGATGAGTTCAGTCCTCAGAGCCCACATGGTGCAAGGAAAAAACTGACTCCTACAAGTTGCCTGGTAGCAACACCCCCCCCAATAAGCAAGCAAACAAACAAACAAACAAATAAATAAATGTAAAACAATATTTGTGGTAATATGCTCCGTCCTAATGGCTTAGAAATGATCTTTCAACCATTTGATGCCCCACCTGCTACCTCGACTTTGCTATCCTTAAGAGAAAGGATTTTTCTGTGAGCTGCCAGATGCTCTGCCCACACTCCCTAGGGCAAGCATGTTCATCGGCTGTGTTACCCTGTCCCCAGCCTGTCTCCCGTTGGATTCTGAACTGGTCTTCCTCCTTCCCTTCGCCTTTCCCTCCGTGTTACCACAGCATCCCTGGCCACCTCACTTACATCCATTTCTCTTCTTTCCCCTTCCCTTAGAGTATGCCCCATACCAGGTCCTCTGTGGTTTCACACACCAGCTTCACCCATTGCAACCACAGCCTACATGGTGGCTCCCAAGCTGACAGTGTTGGGAGACACGGGGTACCCCAGCAAGCCTCAGGACACCCTTTGAGTCTCCCTCTCATCATGGACACCGAGGTTGTTGCTAGTTCTTTTGGCTAATGTGACAGAGATGGCATAGATGCATCTATTGAGAAGTATGTGCACTTTGAATATGCCTCAGCATAGGGTTCCTGGGTCAGACCATATCTATAGCTTTAGCTACTCACCATGTCTAAGTCACCCCATGTTATCAGTGCTTGGTACCATGGTCTTTTGATGTCTATCACTGTGGTGCTTGCACTCGCCTTTTATTTTTAAATAATATTTTAAATTTATTCTTTGATAATTTCATACGAGTATGCAATGTATCTTGAGCATATCAACCCCAAATCTGGCCTACCACTTCTTCCCGAACCCCCAAGCCCCACCTCCTGCTTTCATGACTTCTGTTTTACTAATCCAGTGAGTACTGCTAGTGTTGCCACGTTTGTATAGGGGGTCATTCACTGGAGCATAAGAAACCCACCAGCAGCCACCCTCCTGAAGAAAAATGGTTGCCCTGACCCAGTATCCATCAGTTACCAATGACTCCTCAGCTACTGAGCTCCTCTCCCACCCGTGCTACAGTGCTGACTGGCTTGATCCGGTGTGGTCTTGTGCAAGCAACCACAGGTGTGGCGAGCTCAAGTCATGTCACCTCCAGGAGACTTCATTCTTCCCAGTCTTCAAACTCTTACACTCTTTCTGCCTCCTGTTCCTC